AACGAGCCCCACAATGAAAATCTCTCAAAAAAAAAAAAAAAAAAAAAAAGATAATGGTTCTAAAGAGTGGATTCATAAAAATAATGATTTTTAAAAAAGATGCATCAAAACAATTTACTATTTTGGGAAGCTAATGTTGCAGGTAATCTTTCTTTTCTTCGACAAAGACACTATCAACAGTGCTTCTGTTTCCATTTGCCCTCCCCACCCCCATGCATGCATGCACTGCTATGACAAATATTTTTAAAAAGTTTTTATGAGGCTCAAAGTAATTTTTAAACTTATTTTAAAAATTATTTATTTTATTTATCATTATTTCAAATTTGACCAGAGAGAGAGAGAAAGGGAAAGTGACAGAGCAAGCGCCCAGGTCCAAGACTCGAACCAAGGTAAGCCATGTGGGAGTCCAGCATCTTAACCACCACTTCACCTGCCAGCCCCACAAAGTAATTTTTATGTGATGACATAATAAAACACAGGGGCCCTGTATGCATTAAACTGCAATATTGTTTCTAACTGAGAAAGACGAGAAAGAACCTAGGTATCTGTAGCATATTCAAACAAAAGAATACCAAGTAGCTGTTGAAAAACAAACAAAACAAAACAAAACAAAAAACCCAGCAGGAGTCTATGTGCTACTAATGAGGAAAAATAAGCAATATATATGAAATGAAAAAAAAAAATAAAAAAAAAGGCAAGGCACAGAGCAGTGCTACAGTTTTTATAAAAAAGGAAATGTATACCAGTTTACTTGTAAAAAGGTAAGTATTTTGATGGATGTATAAAAAATTTACAATACTGATTGCCTTCAAAAAGAGGACCTGGGGCAGTGGCAAAGTGGGACTGCCTGGAGCTGAAGTAGAGACATTTGAATTGATTATACTAGTGTGTGCGCTCACCAGTAAGACAGAGATAGAAAGTGAGAAATTACCACCCAGAGGGATGGCAATCCCTTTTTCTCCATTCTCCTCTCTTGGATCTTGGGCACACACCCACTGCACCCTGCAAGAGTTTAAGCCACCAGGTCTGGGACTTGAGCTGTGGTCGACTACATGGGAGTCCAGCAACACAGCCATTACACCAACTGCTGATCCAACTTGAACTGATTTTAGCATAAGGGAAATGGAGGAGCCATAGAACTTTAAGAATAAATTCAAGAGGGGGCCGGCAGGTGGCATGGTGGTTAAGGGTGCTGGACTCCCACGTGGCTGTCCAGGACCTGTCAGCTTGCCTTCTCACTTTGTCTCTCTGTGATCAACTTAAAAGGAATGAAGTTCAATAAAGTAATTTAAAAAAAATAAAAAAAATGAATTCAAGAAGGCCTGAAACCATGGAAAACTTGCCTACCCTCTACACTATTTTCAAAGGAGAGGCAAGAAGAGAGACAGAGGTGTTCTTTCCAGGATTACACAGGGAAGGTCACATTCGAGGCTGTCTTGAACACTACCTGCAAGAAGCGTGGTCGCAAAGATCACTTTGCCGAAGACTGTTTTCATGCAACCAGGAGGGACCAAATCCTGTCTAATACCTGAAGAGGAGGAAGAGAAGGAGAGGAAGAGTCAGCAGAATTTGAGAAACTTGACCCCACAAGAAATTCTTCTAGAAAAAGAAAACCAGGGACCAGCAGTTAGCGTAATGGCTATGTCGCTGGACTCCCACGTAGTCAACTGCGGTTCGAGTCCCGGACCTGGTGGCTTAAACTCACGCCGGGCACATGTGCATGTGTGCCCAAGATCCCGAGCGGAGAATGGAGAAGGGATTGCGGTGTGGCCATCCCCCCTGGGGGGTGATTTCTCGCTTTTTGTCTCTCTCTGTCTGCCTGGCGAGTGCATGCGCTCTATAGCAAAAACCTCTCCAAACAACAACAACAACAACAAAAAACAAGAAAAAGAAACATAGAGACAGGAAGTCATCTGATTCTGATAGCTCAGACTCTGACAGTGATCCAGGCAAGAGGGCAAGGCGCATGTCAAAAGATAGCAAAGCAGCAAAAAAGAAGGGAGGAGGGAGAAGGGAGAAGAAGAAAGAAGCAGCAGTAGTAGCAGCAGCAGTATAAGCAGCAGCTCGAGGAGTGAGACTAGAAAGTGTGGAGGGGGTGGTTGAGCAGATAGGGAGCCAAGAGCCTTGGGACTTGAAGCCCTGGCCCCAGGAAGGACTTACTGAGAACATGGCTCCCACCAGCTGACTTGGCCTCATGGGAGATGGCTTCCCTTCAGTCAGCAGGCAACTTTGGGGGGGGGGGGGGGGGGGCAGCTGCCCGTGATCAACTTAAAAGGAATGAAGTTCAATAAAGTAATTTAAAAAAAATAAAAAAAATGAATTCAAGAAGGCCTGAAACCATGGAAAACTTGCCTACCCTCTACACTATTTTCAAAGGAGAGGCAAGAAGAGAGACAGAGGTGTTCTTTCCAGGATTACACAGGGAAGGTCACATTCGAGGCTGTCTTGAACACTACCTGCAAGAAGCGTGGTCGCAAAGATCACTTTGCCGAAGACTGTTTTCATGCAACCAGGAGGGACCAAATCCTGTCTAATACCTGAAGAGGAGGAAGAGAAGGAGAGGAAGAGTCAGCAGAATTTGAGAAACTTGACCCCACAAGAAATTCTTCTAGAAAAAGAAAACCAGGGACCAGCAGTTAGCGTAATGGCTATGTCGCTGGACTCCCACGTAGTCAACTGCGGTTCGAGTCCCGGACCTGGTGGCTTAAACTCACGCCGGGCACATGTGCATGTGTGCCCAAGATCCCGAGCGGAGAATGGAGAAGGGATTGCGGTGTGGCCATCCCCCCTGGGGGGTGATTTCTCGCTTTTTGTCTCTCTCTGTCTGCCTGGCGAGTGCATGCGCTCTATAGCAAAAACCTCTCCAAACAACAACAACAACAACAAAAAACAAGAAAAAGAAACATAGAGACAGGAAGTCATCTGATTCTGATAGCTCAGACTCTGACAGTGATCCAGGCAAGAGGGCAAGGCGCATGTCAAAAGATAGCAAAGCAGCAAAAAAGAAGGGAGGAGGGAGAAGGGAGAAGAAGAAAGAAGCAGCAGTAGTAGCAGCAGCAGTATAAGCAGCAGCTCGAGGAGTGAGACTAGAAAGTGTGGAGGGGGTGGTTGAGCAGATAGGGAGCCAAGAGCCTTGGGACTTGAAGCCCTGGCCCCAGGAAGGACTTACTGAGAACATGGCTCCCACCAGCTGACTTGGCCTCATGGGAGATGGCTTCCCTTCAGTCAGCAGGCAACTTTGGGGGGGGGTGGGGAGGAGCAGCTGCCTGAATTGAGTTGTTTTATCCCTCCTAGTCCCTTTGGAAGTGACCCCTGCCACTCATTCATTCACCCAACTTCTTCCTCCACTAGAAGGTCCTGTTTCTCTTTCCAGCTATCATTGCCAGAGAGGAATTCCTCTACAGGGATCCCGGTTACTAATGCCACAGCTATTGCTGTGCAGATGCGGCTGGCTGGCGGTCATGGTGAAGAGTGGTTGGCCCTGCCTGTTGGTCTGTCTTAGGCTGGTTGGTGGTGACCTCTGCTCCAGGTAATGTGGGCACAGGGAGCCTGGCAGCAGGAGAACACTGTAAGAAACGGTGCTCACTTGTCCCACTCCCCCAGCATGGTTTTGCTATGCTAGCAGTGACCACTGCCAGAGAATGACTTGCAGTGTGGACTAGCTTGTGTGTGGCATTTCAGCAGACCCCTGCACCAGACGATGAAGTCAGGATCACTGCTCTACTTTGTATTTGCTACCATGTGAGTCGGTAAGTTTCACATCAGGTCTCTGCTTAAATTCTTGGCACTGGAAAAAAAAAAAAAAAAAGAGGACTCAGTTCCTGTGGGGGCATGAAAAGAGGGAGAATGTGTCTTTTTGAATTCTGAATCACATTACTAATACCCAGATAGAGTATATTTTTAAAAATTTATCAATGAAAGCCCAGTTATTCTTTTATTTATTTATTTATTTTTGGAGAGGTTTTGCTATAGGGCAAGTGTGCTCACCAGAAAGACAGGGGGAGACAGAGATAGAAAGTGAGAAATCATCCCCCCCCGGGGGGAGGGGAAGCCACTCCACCATCCCTTCTCCTCCATTCTCCTCTCGGGATCTTGGGCATGCACGCACACGTGCCTGGCGTGAGTTTAAGCCACCAGGTCTGGGACTCGAACCATGGTCGACTGCATGGGAGTCCAGCGACATAGCCATTCCGCTAACTGCTGGTCCCTTCAAAGCCCAGTTACTCTTAAAGCTAACAAATAATTATTGTGTATGAATTTAAAAGGGAACTATAAAGTTTGTAGAAAGATAAAACTATGGTATGAGTTTATTCTACTGTATATATATTAAAAAAAACCTTGAAATCCATGCGTAATTTTTCCTAACACTTATTTTCCATGAACTTCTTAAAGAACCCTTGTATAGAAAATCTTGACACATTAAACTGTCAGGCTGAGACTGAAGATAAGTAATTGAAAATAGTGGATTCCTGGCCCAAGCAACAAACTTAAATGTATTTTGAGAATGTATGATAAATCGTTTGGTTCTTCAAATGAGCACCTTTTATATAACATTCTTGACAAGGAAAAAATAACATTGTTAAAAGCTTGTAAAAGTCCTTTTTCTTTTATAGCCCAAGTTTCCTAAAAGAGAAGGGCATTGAATTCGACTAATGTTGTACACTTTTGTATGTGTGATACCATTTCTACCAAGCTAGGAGCAAGGTATGACAACAGATAAAAGGGCTACGCTTACTTAGTAAAGACAGAAAGAGCATCTGTCTGCTTTGACTTCTGCTTTCTTCTATCTCCTAACACACATCAGAAAACACTAACTTAATGATGACAGCAAAAGTGAACACTTATTGTCAGTCACTGTTCTGAGCGATTTATGTGAATTAACTCAATCTCCTCACAATTCCACAGGGTATATTATTAGCTCCAATTTGCAATTTATACACAAGGAAACAAAGGAAATCATGGCAGAAGAGTTGAAAGCATGGACTCCAGAACCTAACTCTTGGGACATGAAATGTTGATCTTCCAATTCATAGTTGTGTGACCTTAAGCAAGTTATTTAAGCTTTGCTATGACTGCTCATTTGTATAATGGAGATAACAGCAGTATCTAAATTCAGGATTGCTACAAGGATTAAATGTCTTATTAAGTATCAGCTTATTATTACTATGTTTCTACCCAAGTTCAGATGGGTATTGAGTGTAAGAGCTGGGCTGTTTTTACTATTTTTTTAAAGAGATTTTTGCCTTAGGGGCCATGTACTCACAGAGGGGTTTGGGGAGAACCACACAGACAGTGAGAGGGAAAGTGAGAAGTCACCTCCCTAGGGTGGATGGCCATGCTGCAATCTCTTCTGCTGCATTCTCCTCCTAGGATTTTGGGCATGTATGCACATGTGCCAGGTGTGATTTTCAAGCCACTGGGTTCAGGACTCAATCTGTGGTGAGCCATGTGAGAGTCCAGAAACATTACCGCTACACCACCTGCTGGCCCCAAGAGCTCGGCTTTGAATACAAGCATTCTTCTTTGCTTAATGCAATCATCTATAGCATGGATTTAAAATCTTGGCACCCATACAAGATGATCAAAGTTCTGTTTAAATGAAAAACTATTCAGATTCTTATTCTTACATAGCATTTATCAGTAACTTGTCAAATGTCAAATCAACCCTGACCATATTGGATCTTACCTTAAAAAAAAAAAAAAAAAAAAAAAAAACCTTTCAGGGGGCCAGCAGGTGGTATAGTGGTTAGACACTAGACTCCCAAGTGGCTGATCATGGTTGAGTCCTAGAATCAGCAGCTTGAAACTCACGCCACATACATATGTACCCAAAATCCCAAGAAAAAATGGAGGAGAAGGGATTGTGGTGTGGCCATCCTCCCAGGGGATGAATTTTTGCTTTCTGCCTCTCTGTCTCTGTCTCTGCAGTGAGCTCACATGCCATATAGAAAAATCTCTCTCTCTCTCAAAAAACAAACAAACAAACACAAACAAACAAACAAACCAAACTTTCAGGAGCCAGATGGTCAGATAGTGGCACAGCAGTAAAACGACGATAGGCAGACCCACCATGAGAAAGTTACCAGTTCAAGTCCAGAGATCTCTCTGAGTATACCAGGCAAACACGTGTGCTTGTGATCTGGATCTGGCTGGAGTAGACTGCAGAGTAGGCGCCCTGTAAGGAGTTCTACATCTCCATATCTCATAGAATAAATAAATAAACCTTGAAAATGTTTTTCAACATTTGAAATCTTATTTATTTTTTGGAGAGGTTTTTGCTATAGGGCACGTGCGCTCGCCAGACAGACAGAGACAGAGAGATAGAAAGCGAGAAATCACCCCCAGAGGGGATGGCCACAACGCAATCCCTTCTCCATTCTCCTCTCGGGATCTTGGGCACACATACACATGTGCCCGGATCGAGTTTTAAGCCACTGGGCACGTGACTCGAACCGCAGTCGACTACCCAGTGACATAGCCATTACACTAACTGCTGGTCTCTTGAAATCTTATTTTAATAGATCTTTTTTTTTTTAATCGCCCAAGGGAGACAGAGATGGAGAGGGAGCAAGCATCCCTAAACTGAATATGGTCATGCCATAATCCCTTCTTCCACATTTCTCCATCCTGTTGGGATCTTGGACATACATGGACGTGTACTCAGAGTGTATTTCATGTGGACGGGGCCAGGATTCAAATTGCAGTCAGCCATGTGGGATCCAGCTGCTGCAACCATTAGGCTACAGGGTGGGGCCAGTATTACTGTATTATTATTTTAATGCTAGAAGGTTATAAGCAAATGCTTATAACATGAGAGAGCGAGAAAGCTCCCCCAATGTGGCTTAGTCACACCACAATCCTTTTTTTTAAAAGAATTATTTTATTTAACTTTATTTATTATTAATATCATTATTATTTTTCAGTTTGATCAGAGAGAGACAGAGAGAGAAAGGAAGTGAGAAAGCAAGCCACCAGGTCCGAGACTTGAACCATGGTCAGCCATGTGGGAGTCCAGCGCCTTTAACCACCATGCCACTTGCCGGCCCCAACAATTCTTTTTTATCCAATTCTTCATCCTATCAGCATCCTAGGCATGCTCACATGTGTTCCCTACATGAAGTTGATGGAGCTGGGACTCCAATCTTGGTCAACCGGCTTCCTCTGTGCTGTGCTCAACTGCTGGGCTTCAGGGCTGGCCCTGAAACCTTATTTTAAGCATTTATATCAAAGAGCTTTTCTTGTTTATCTGTATTGCATTTAGACACTATCCCTTCAAGAATGCACCATGATGGGCCACCAGGTGGCATGGTGGTTAAGATGCTGGATTCCCCAGATGAGCAACCACGGTTCAAGTCCTAGACCTGCTGGCTTGCTTTCTCACTTCCCCTCTCTATTTCTGTTTAAATTCTAAAATAATAATAATAAATTTAAAAAAAATTTTTAAAAAGGCACCATAAAATAAATCTTTATTACTTCAATTCTAGTGCAGAAATTGGAGGACAGCTCAGTTAATACTGCCATGGGATAGCAGTAAGAGCCCAGTCTATTTACAGTTTGAGGATTGAAGCCAGAAGCAGAGCAGTGGTGAAAATACTGGAAATCTAGACAACTCTGTTTACTGTCTACCACTTTGACTGAAAAAATGTTAAACCACACCCTCATTTAAATTAAAGCACAAAACCACAATCTAAGGCAGACTACTTTGGAGGTTTGCCATGATTCGGCTTCCTTTTATGTACTAGTTTCCTGTAGTTGCTGCAAGAAAGTACCACAAATACAGTGCATAAAACAACAAAAAAATATTTATTTACTTATTTTTGGGAGAGGATTTTGCTATAGGGCGCGTGCGCTTACCAGAAAGACAGAGAGAGACAGACAGAAAGCAAGATATCACTCCTCAGGGGGGATGGCCATGCCGCAATCCCTTCTCCTCCATTCTCCTCTCGGGATATTGGGCATGCATACACATGCGCCCGGCATGTGTTTTAAGTCAATGGTCCGGGACGCGAACCACGGTCGGCTACATGGGAGTCCAGTGACATAGCCATTACGCTAACTGCTGGTCCCCACAACAGGGTCTTGATGCTACAATCCACCCCTAGACTCAGGCAGCCCCAGATCGTGGGCACATACGCAACCAGTGTATTCAGGGAAGGGAAGTCTCTGGACACAAACCCAGAACCTTTCCATGTGGCCAGCCTTGCAGAGCTTCACATTGCACTGCTGCACCACTGTCTGGCCCCTCACATTACACCATTTGACACTGACTCTTCAACTTCCCTCTTTTGTCTTTTAAGGACACTTGTAATTACTGTAGGCCTATCTGGATAATCCAGGATAATCTCCCTATTTTAAAGTCAGCTGATTAGGAACCTTAATTCCATCTGCATCCTTATTTCCCTCTTGTCATGTAACTTAACATATTAATAAATTCCAGGGATTAGGACGTAGAAATCTTTGGGAAAATTATTATTGTCTTCCATGCCTTCATTGTTTCAAACAGTTCAGGATCCACTCATTTAGTAAGGCCATTTTATTTAGAATTTAATGTATTTTAGTTTCTGGAGTAAACACAAAGTAACAGGATACTATTTCATTTATCTAGACTTAGCTGACAGTTCATAAAGAGTGGAGTTACTGAAAGCTACTTGAATGCAGAGATCCTAACCAATTAACTTCTTTATACATTGGGGTATTAGAATTCCACTAAATGTGTTGTTTGTACAGTATACAATTATGCTGCTGATAAGAAATTTTACCAAGAAGGTAACTGCATACAGTGAAAAAGTTAGAGGTTTTGGGCCAGCAGGTGTCACAGAAGTTAAGGTGGGTGAATCCAACATGGCGGATTGCACAGTTCAAGTCCTGGAAACAGTGGCCTGAAAATCACACTGTGTGCATGTGCCCAAAATCCCAAGAAGAGAATGGAGAGGGGAAAGGGATTGTGGGGAGGCCATCCCCTCTGAGGGGATGATTTCTCACAATCTCACACACACACACACACACACACACACACACACACACACACACACGATTCTGATGAAGGCATGCACCCTACAGGAAAAGTAAAAATAAATAAATAAATTAATTAATAGTTAGAGGTTTTTAAGAGACAGGCAAACTAAAGTTTAAAGATTAATAAACTACAGGGACCAGCAGTTGGCGTAATGGCTATGTAGCTGGACTCCCACGTAGCTGACTGCGGTTCAAGTTCTGGACCCAGTCGCTTAAACTTACACCAGGCGCGTGTGCGTGTCCAGAATCCCAACAGGAGAATAGAGGAGAAGGGATTGCAGTATGGCCATCCCCCTTGGGGGCGTGATTTCTCGCTTTCTGTCTCTCTGTCTTTCTGGCATGCACATGCACCCAATAGCAAAAACCTCTCCAAAACAAACAAACAAAAAACACAATAATTTATCTACCTAGAGTCCTCTGAGCCTTAAACTTCTCAAGTGTAAAATGGAGGTAAGCTTATCGCAAAGAGCTGTTTACTATAAGAGTTAAACAGGAATACATGTTCTCCTGGCACATGGCATGATATTCCAGAAATTTTTCTCTTCTGGTGTCCTAAATATTTAAAATTAATTTCGCACTACACTTTGAGAGCATGTAAAAGAAATGGTAGACACAGTCCTGCCATCAAATTAAAAAAAAAAAACTAATTGTTGGTGTAATATGCTTGAATACAACGAAGAAATGAAAGAAGTATCAGTGTAAACCTAAACTCGGCCCAGCCCAGGAAGTGCTGGCTATGCAGGTGACACAGAATACTTGGCAGGCTGAGGCCACTGGAGAAGCCCAGGTTTGATTCTGAGCTTACCCTAAAAAGCCCAGAATGGTGGGCTGGGCCTGTAGTTCCAGCTACTAAGTAGGCAGAGGCAGGGGGATCACAATATAGTGAGACGCTGTCTAAAGCAAACCAAACCAAAGTAAAAACAAAACAAAACCAAAAGCCCTCAACAAAAGAAAACCTAAAATCTAAGTGGACTCTTTGAAAGGGTTGAGACTTGGTTAGGAAAAGTGAATATGCAGTGAAATAAGTAAGGCTAATTTCTTTTTTACCTTAAAAGCTAAAAAAACAAAACTTGATCTGTTTATCAGAGGAAAATTTTGGACCCTCTAATTGAATTTTTGCAATCTTTTTTTTTTTAAATTTTTATTTTTTGAGAGGTTTTTCGCTATAGGGCGCGTGCGCTCACCAGACAGAGAGAGACAGAGAGACAGAAAGCGAGAAATCACCCCCTAGAGGGGCTGACCACACAGCAATCACTTCTCCTCCATTCTCCTCTCAGGATCTTGGGCACGCACGAACACGCGCCCGGCGTGAGTTTTAAGCCACCGGGTCTGGGACACGAACCGCGTTCGACTACCTGGGAGTCCAGCGACATAGCCATTACGCATTTTTGCAATCTTTGAGATCAACCTAGTACAGCGATTTTGAAATTATTCCCTGGATCCCTGACAATCCACAGATGTGAAGGAAAGTAGATCCTTCTCCTAATTTGTTCGGCTTTGTCCTTCAGGTGAAACTGAAAGTTACTGAACTGGACGAATTCTGGCATTATCTGTGAATCTTAATAGTTCATAGTTCTCCTGAATTCTATCATCAAACTTCAGCACAGTTTTAAGAAACACGTATTCAGTAGCCACAAAAATCTGACGTATCTAGCTTTGCATTGTTTCATTAATGACTTGGAAGTAAAAAACACAAACTACCAATTACACCCACAAAGCTTATCAACATCAACAGTACTGTACATGATAACTTAATAATACTCTGTACTTTTCCTGTGCCTAGGAGCTAATTCTACTTTGCATAAATTACCTTATTATTTACACACCAACCCTTGAAGTCATATTTTGAGTTAACTAATTTTATATCCAGTTTTTGATAAGGAATTAAGAACATGTTGCTGAAGGTCACACAAGACACGGGAGACTGAGTCCAAAACCGAGTTAGAAACACAAAGTGTCTTCATCCCCTGTTATCAGGCTGCCTACTAAGGCTGGGGGTGTACCATCCACGAGGAGCGCTAAAGGACACGCAGAAACACCGTGTACACGCAGCAGGGTGAAATCCGACAAAGCTGAGACCGGATACCACCAGCAACAAAAAGCCGCCCGCGGCGCCGGCTCTTCGGGTCCCAGTTCTGCAGCCCAGAGCCTGAGAGGAAGCCTAGGAGTGCCGACCCCACTCCCTACCGCGCGGAGACTCGGAGTCCCGCTCCTTTCCCTCATCGGTGCAACCTCCACCCCAGCCCACTCCCTCACCGTGAGCGGCGGACCAGTTCTGACGCGACGGCCGCTACACACCGACAGGAGCCAGCCCAGAGCGCCCGTCCCGCAACTGCGAAGCAAGCGCCGGCCGTCCGGGAGGAAGCTACTCAACGCGCAGCCGCCGCGGCCCCCACTAGCAGAGGGGCGCAGGGCCGCGCGCGCCCCACTCGCCGCCGTCCGGAGGAGGAGCGGGTAAGCGAAGCGCGCTGCCGCGGTGCCTCGCCTAGGGAGGTAGGTTGTCGTAGTCTCCGCTCGCCATTCCGGGAATGCCAGTCATAACGGCAGGCTCTCCCTGCTCTAGCCTGTCCTTTTCTCCCCCGCCCCTGCAGCGACAGGAATGGAACAGTCCCACC